CACTGTAGGGATTCTATGAAATCTCATCTGAAAGACAGGACCTTCAATAGTGCTACACTGAAGTGTCATTAATACCCAGGGCCGGAGTGAGACTTTAACTCCTGTGACTTGGGAGTTAGACTGCTGCTGTCTTATGTCTATGGAACTAACCATTGGAAGCCTGTGGTTGGGGTAGAGTCTGCCACCAAACCTCCTTTTCATACGAGCTCTAACCATCTGTTTAGTTAACACTGGTAGAGAATGAATCACTGGTGAGTCAAACAAGAGGTACTTATCTTAATAACAGGATTTTGCTTATTTGATAACAATAGGTACAAGTGACATTGGCTAGTTAGGTATAATTACAAAGACTCAGAAGTCAGAGATGATACATCTGTTCTCTTTGTGATCTAGAGCCACAGTCCCCTCAATTCTCTGTCAAAGGCTGTGAGACAACAACAGATTGGGCAGAACTGAATGCAGTCTCCAACATTAACCTTTTTTCTGAACCATTATTCACCGGACTAATCCATAGCATGGTGAGACAGACCTATGAGGAAACTGAGCTGGTATTCTCTAGAGTTTTTAAAAAAAAGAGAAATAATCTAATTGAAACTTACAAAACTTTCAAAGGGCATGACAGGACGGACGTAGACAGGATGCTTCCCTTAATCTTGGGTTCTGGATCCAGGGGACAGAGTTTCAGAAGTACAAGTGCCAGTTGGTTCACTTGGCTGGAGTGGATCAGATTGGTGCAACAGTATTGGGGTTTGATTCCAATTCTGGCTGGAATACACTTGCTCTACCATTATCAAGGTCACAGGACTGTGCTTTGGACCTGTCTTTGAGCAGAGAAAAATCTATCCTATTGAATCCTTCTATCATTTTACCCACTTCAGATAAGACCATCCCTCAGTCTTTTATGCACTGTTGGGTTTTAATGAAAATGTGACAGATTTCTTGTCACTTTTATTTCCAGTTTTTGTTTTGAGCTGAACTCAAATTATGAAACTATTACAAAGAGGCTTGAACTTGTAGTTTCTGGAGTTTTAGTCAAGGCTGTTCGTCTAGTAGTGCAGTAACATAATCATGTTTGCCTCCATATCGTAGTTCTGCAAATATTCCAAGGTTGCCCGTTACTTTTGAGAATGGCTACATTGCTGATTATAGTTGCCACTAGGTGGAGCATCAAGTTTTTTTTGGGTGCACTGACTTTTGCTCAAAAACATTGCTGATTTTGGGCATAAAGAATTCTGCCAAATTCCTGTTTGTGCACTTTGTTTTTATTCATTCATGGGATATGGGTGTCACTGGCAGGACCAGCGTTTATCGCCCATCTGTAATTCCCTTGAGAAGGTGGTCGTGAGCTGCCTTCATGCACTTTTGCAGTTCAGTTTGCTTCAGTAGATCCACGTTGTTGTTGGGGAAGGAATTCCAAGACTTTGATCCAGCAACAGCGGAGGAATGGCAATATATTTCCAAGTCAGGATTGTGAGTGGCTCAGAGGGGAACTTGCAGGCTGTGGTGTTACCCATGTATCCATTGCCCTTGTCCTTATAGATGGTAGTGGTTATAGGTTTGGAAGGTGATGTCTGAAGAGCTTTGGTGAATTTCTGCAGTCCATCTTGGGAGTGGTACACACTGCAGCTATTGAGCGTTGGTGGTGGAGGGAGTGAATGTTGTAGATGTGGTGCCAATCAAGAGGTCTGCTTTAACTTGGATGTCTTGAGTCTTTTTATACTGCACTCATCCCAACTATTCCATGCTAATATTTACTCAATCCTCTGCTCATCTTTTCTCATTTGAATTGACTGTCGTAACCTTCTATTCCTTTCTCTGTCATTTGCTTGTCTAGCTTCTTCTTAATTGCACTTGTCCTATTTACTTCAACAACTCCCTGTCTCACCACTTGTCAGGCGAAGATAGAGTCACACAACACAGAAACAGACCCTGCAGTCCAACCAGTCCATGCCGACCATAATCTCAAACTAAACTAGTCCCACCTGCCTGCGCTTGGCCCATATTCCTCCAAACATTTTTTATTCATGTCCAAATGTCTTTTAAATATTGTAACTGTACTCACATCCACCACTTCCTCTGGAAGTTCATTTTATATCCAATTGCCAAGCTCACCCTGAATCCCATGTGATCTAATGTTACCTATTAGTCTACCATGCAGAATCTTGTCAAATACTAAAGTCCAAGTAAACAACATCTACCGCTCTTCCCTCATCAATCTTCTTGGCTACTCCCTCAAAAAACTCAATCAAGTTGGATTTATTGTTAACAATCTTATAGCAATGGCCTCTAGTTCTGTTCACCCTCACAACAGGAAACATTCTCTTTGTATTGATTATTAAAACCTTCCATATTTTTAAAAAACCTTTGTTATGTTATTGCTCAGCCTTGTTTTTATCAACTCATCATCAGTAGTAGGTAAAATAATGTGATTCCCACCAAACTGAGAGAGTAGAAAGATGTCTAAAGAAAACTATAACAAGAAACGAGGGCATTAGTTCAGCACTAACTTCCACCACACTGTATTAACTCAACAATATTAAAATTATGCCTGGTTGATCCTCTGTCGCTACACAGCTGAACAAATGAATATTTTTATTAAGAGTTTCCATCTCATTAACGAGGCTTCAAATCTAACAACTTGCTCTGAAAATTCTGCTCACATTTTATCAGCAATGACAAGTTTCACCACAGCAGGTGACACAACTCAAAGTATTCTAAAACAATCGACAACGTTCTAAAGGAAACAATCACAACTTTCCAACAGGAAAGTCAATGGGTTTCATCTCCCAAAGCTAAAGAATTATTTAAAGGATTCCAAGATCCTGGGCATACTATATTGGTGAACCAAGTTTGGTTGAAATCCATTTTTTTATTTAGGTATTTTGTTTACAGACAAATAGACGCTGCAGCAAAAACCATTACTGCTTCCCACCTTCAGTGGCAGAGGTAATAAGTAGCATGGATTTCAAAAGACAACAATCTTGTTTAACCAACCTCCTATGAAAAGACTAATGGATGCATAAAATTGTGAGGAGGTATTACTGGAGACTAAAAAATAAATAAGATCAAAACTACCGTGCCAACATTCAACTGCAGCAATGCTTATTAATTTTGTATGCTAATTACTCTTATTAAATGCACATATCTTGAGAAAAGACTTGCATTTCTGTAGCACCCTTCAGGAACTTTCGTAGGTAGAGACAGGGTGATTAAGGAGGCATTTAGCACATTTGCCCTTTGAGTATAGGAGTTGGGATGCCAAATTGAGGTTGTATAGGCCATTGGTGAAGTCCTTTCTGGAGTATTGTGTGTAGTTCTAGTTGCCCAGTTATTGAAAGGATATTACTAAATTCATTGGGACCCGAAACGTCAACTTTCCTGCTCCTCTGAAACGGCTTGGCCACTGTGTTCCTTCAGCTCCACACTGTAAAGTTTGGGACTTTTTTTGCTGAGTCATAGAGTCGTAGAGCATGGAAACAGACCCTTCGGTCTAACTCATCCATGCCAACCAGATATCCTATATAAATCTAGTCCCATTTGCCAGAATTTGGCAACCCTTCCGAATCATATACCCCTCCAGATGCCTTTTAAATGTTGTAATTGTACCAGCCTCCACCACTTCCTCTGGCAGCTCATTCTATAGATTTTCCACCCTCTGCGTGAGATAGTTGGCCCTTAGGTCCCTTTTATATCTTTCCCCCTCACCTTCAACCTACGCACCTTAGTTTTGGACTCCTCTACCCTGGGGAAAAGATCTTGGCTATTCACTCCATCCATGCCCCTCATGATTTTATAAACCTCTATAAGGTCACCCCTCATCCTCCAATGCTCCAGGGAAAATAAACCTCGAGCCTATTCAGCCTCACCATATAGCTTAAACCCTCCAACCCTGGGAACATCCTCATAAATCTTTTCTGAACTCTTTCAAGTTTCACAACATCCTTCTTATAGGAGGGAGACCAGAATTACATGCAATACGGTGGAGCATAGGAGGTTGAGATGTGACCTTATAGAGGTTTATAAAATCATGAGGGGCATACATAAAGAGAATGACAAGGTTGGGGGAGTTCAAAACTAGGGGGCATATTTTTAACATGAGAGGAGAAAGATTTGAAAAGGACACAAGGAGAAACTTTTTTCCACAAAGTGGTTCATGTGTGGAATGAACTGCCAGATAAAGTGGTGGATGCAGGTACAGTTACAACATTTAAAAAACATTTGGATAAATTCATGAACAGGAAAAGTTTGGAGGGATATGGGCCGAGCGCAGGCAGGTGGGACTAGTTTAGTTTGGGAACATGGTCATCATGGAATGGTTGGACTGAAGGGTCTGTTTCTATGCTGTATGACTCTGTAACTCTGGAAAGCCAGAGCAAATGAAGAACATTTGAAACTTACTAACTATTGTAATGTACCTGGTGTGACACACATATGCATAGACAGCAGGACGGGATGCCACTCTGTATTTAGTTGGCTGGGTCTGTTGTTGGAAACACAATTCAAAAGTTCAATTTAGGGGCAAAAGAGTAGTGGGAAAAAATCATCAGGATTACTCAATCAGGAAGCATGGGTACTGGGTGGAAGCAGACTAGCTGACAGCTCACACAGACAAATAGCCCATGCCCTACATGTTTCCTAGGTTGACAACAATGATATTTTACAATTAGATAATAGATTTAGCATAATACAAGAAAACAGACAAAATTTGCCACATAAGGAGGCAGTAGGAGATTAAAAGTTTGGTCAGGAATGTGTGTTTTAAAGGGGAGAGAGAGAGATTTTGGGGATGGAATTCCAGCTCACTGCACATGGAGAATGGGTCACTTGGGTGAGGTATAAAGGGTTGTAGAATTACAATTCAACTATTAAATCCCTGCCTTCAGAAGAGAAAATGTCCCTTTAAAATGAAAACACAACCTATAGTTTTGTGAAGTAACCTCCCTCTTAGCTCCAGAAACTATCACAGGCTCGTGACGTTTTATTTCCCAGTGCTACTACTACTCTGCACATGCTCCGGGACACTCCTCAAGTTTCCCTGTGAGGAATTAGAGTCAGTGAGAGAGCGGAGAAATAGAGTCAGAGGACAGAGTCAATCAGACGGGGCAGGCATTCTGGTCTTCATAACAGCGCCAAGGATCTAGAAGATACTTTTCTACCCAACCTCAAAAAAACTCCCATTGATCAGATATTTATTTTTTTAAAAAGAAGAAATCACAGACCACATTAGAGGGAGTTGGCGAAAGATTGAGGTGAGCCTGCTTAATATTTCTGCGTATATGGGCAATTATTTCTATGACTGTTAATTCGAAACTTGTGACAAGTATGTCCCGTTTTAAAACAAAAGTTTTAACCTGGTCTTTCTAAAAGACCAGCCCTATTTAATTCTTGCTTGCTGTTTGTGTGCGTGTGTTTGTGTGTGTTAGTGACCGAGAGACGCACAGCTTTCTGTAAAGTTATAAATACATGGATTTTATCTGTGGCTACGTTGAGCTGTAAATTCCTCTGTTTAAAGCATATGGTCCAGCTATCAACTTACAGCCTTTGTCGAGAGCTTTACAGGCTGGAAGCCAACCAGGTCTGCTGGGAATACTTTCCTATTTTCCCAGGAATTGTACAGTGTATTATAAATCTTGGAAGCACTTTTGTGGCGAGTGCATTGGAAAATAAACGGACTCTTTTTCCGCGCACTGAAGCACTGGATTATTTCTTAAAGGGACAGTCACTCTTTTTGTTTTTGCGCAACAACAACAAAAACAAAATGCGCTGGAAATTGTGCTGGATGCTTCTAGGAGTGACCGGGGAAGATTTTCCGGACAGGAAGAGGCCATTCAGCCCGCCTTGTTGGTGCTGGATCTTTGCTGGAGCAATTAGACCCTGCTTACCAAGAGTTATCTATTGAGTAACAGTCAAAATAAGAGGGCTAAAACATTGAAAAATGTATGGCACGGAGGCCATTTGGCCCATCGCGCCAGTGTTGGCTGGAAAATAAAAGCTATCCAGCCAGATGCTACTGCCCAGCTCCAGAGCCCTTATCCACATGAAAGGAGACGTCAGTTATTTGAAATGAAGGGGAAGTTTAAGTAAACTACTGGTTGTATACAGTAAATATTATCAAATAAACCCTATTGCTTCTGATCAACATCACGCTAAGTTTAACTGTGTGTTGGCTGAAATATCTGTTTGCATTTGAGCATCGCTATTTTCTTATTTTGTTCCCTGTTGGGGTCTGGTTCAACGTGAAATAGCTGTTCCCCACTTGCAGCCCTGACTGGTCGGCTTCAACACTCCCTCAATGAGGGACATCACAGTTGAGTCTCATCCTGTCATCAGTCTGAATGCATCCTTGTGCTTTTCCCAACTGGATAGTACACCCTTTAGTCATTTTTCTTCGCAATTCGTCAGGATAACAAAGTTATTGCTCTAGTTTAGACCAATAAAGCCTGCCAAAAAACATAGCTTAATCCAGGGCAAAGCAGCCGCTTGATGGGCACCTTAAACATTCACTCCCTCCATCAACTGACATGCAGCGGCAGCAGCGTGTGCTGTTTAAAAGGTGCATTGCAGCAACTCACCAAAGCTCACATTCCAAACCCATGACCACTATCATCTGCAAGTTACAGTCCTGCTAGCTCTGGAAATGGGCACTTCAGTACTACCACTGGGCAACAGATGCAAGTTCCTCCCAAAGCCACACACCATCCTGACTTGGAACTACATCGCCTTTCCTTCACTGTCACTGCGTTCAAAATCCTGGAACTCTCTCCCTAACTGTGGGTGTCCCTACACCACGTGGACTGTAGTGGTTCAGGAAAGTGAGTCACTCACCACTGCCTTCTCAAGTGCCGACTAGGAAACACCAATGTATTGCCAGCAACGCCAGGATCCTGAGAATGAATTAAAAAATAAATACCTGTGACCTAATGAATGTTGCTTAGGGCTGGTGCAAACTAGCCAGCACACCATCAAGTGAGCCTTTGGTGAACTGGCTGGTGTGGAAAAGTCATCTGACCCATCCTTGCATCATCCCCTTTACAGCTCATTCCCCCTCTTCACCCATACTCAGGCTGGAGGAGAGGGGCTTGCGAAAACTCTAACACTATACTGTCTCTTTGTTACACGTTTTCAGGGTGATTCTGCAAGCCTGCACTCTCAGCGGGCAGGAGTGCATCTCCTAAATGGCTGACTGTGGATTTATCCATTGATTTATTTTAACGGACGAATATATAACAGGGCGGCGTCCCTATAATTTCCCGAGACACGTTTCCTCCAAATGTCACAACCAATGATACCATCGATGTGCTCAATTTTTAACGAACACAAGGTTAGCAGACTGTAACTCTCAAAGACATCAAAACCTCTTTCGAGAAGCATTAGATTTGACGAACCGAATTAATTTCTTGCACAGGATCTGCAACAGCAGCTTGCGTTATGCTGCGCCTTCAATGAATGAAAACATCGCAGGTGATTCGCAAGGGCGCAATTGGGCAGAACTAAAACTACTGAAGGAAGAGAGCAAATAAGGCAGTTTAAAGGAGTGATTTAATGTGGGAGATAGAGAGAGAGTGTGGCCTGAGAGGTTTAGGGAGGGAATTCCAAAGCTTAGGGCTTTGACAGATGGTACCATCATCAACAGTGAAGTGAGAGAAATCAGAGTAGGCAAGGGATCAGAGATGGAAGACAGCAATGATCTCGGGAGGTGTAGGGCTGGGATGAAGTTAGAAATAGGAAGGAGATGTAGTGACGATGGGATGTAAACTAGTAGAATTTAACAAAGTCCAAAAAGATGCAATGCACAGCAGTATGCAGTAAATATCTGAGCCAAATGGCACCTTGACTGTCTGCCTTTGTGAGTTCGTACTTGTACTCTGTGTGTGTGTGTGTGTGTGTGTGTGTGTGTGCAGTGTCTAATGTGTATACAAGCACACTCACATGTGTCTGCCAGGTATTTGTGTTCCAAATATGTCTGAAACTAGTTAAGGGTGCCATCACAGGATGAAATTCAGTCAAATAATTCCAGACACTTCAGTTGAAATCATGACTTCGGTACTAATGAAAGCACCACGTTAAGAGCGCCCTTTCATTTTGGTTACCACCACCACCATATTTATAGCATCTGACTTAAGGCATCTTTCTGTCACTGTCAGAAGTTCACTCTCTGAACCTCTCCCATTTCCCTGCAGGCCCCAAACCTACTTCACATCAGCGTGTTCACACACTGTAATGGAGTACTTATAAATATTGACAAGGTAGCAGTGCCGTGCCATCAAAGAATGGTAAGATGCAGAGAGATCTTTGACTCTATTATGGGATGGGCAAAATGGGACTTTCTTTATGTTCCCATTATTCCCAGAGACTTTTAAACCAACAGAACTGACATTGCAAGACAATCAATCTATTGTAACACTGCAAGTCTCCCCAATGACTCATTGGGTACAAGCATCACATGGTGTAGCATTCAGCCAGAGTGCCAGGTTTACATTCTGGACTGTGCCATTTTATTTGATCTTACTGGTGGTATTAAAGAAAGCAAGATTGCTATAGAGGCTTTTACGAACTCAAGATGCCCCCAAAGTGTCCACACTCAACGCTGCCCATTTTCAAAACAAACTCAGAAAATGCCGGAGAAATTCAGCAGGTCTGGTAGCACCTGAAGAGAGGTTCTGAAGAAGTGTCATGTTGGACTCAACACATTTACTCTGTTTCTCTCTCCACAGACCTGGTGAGTTTTTCTAGTATTTTATGTGTTTGTTTCATGTTTCCAGCATCTGCAGTATTTTTCTTTTATTTGAGTAGCCCTTTTTTGAAGTGTAATCACTGGTGTGATGCAGAAAAGGCTATCCTCAATGTGTGCAAAGCAAGCTCCAATGAATAGCAATGGAATATCTATTTCATGATGTTGTTTGAGATGTGTATGCTGACCAGGACAGAGGGGAGAACTCTTCAGGGCCTCTTAAATTATGCTTGTTAAAACTGCCTGGAGGAGCAGAGAGACTAGATTTAATGTCTCATTCAAAAGACAGCACCTCCAATGTTCTTCACCTACACTGCAGTGGAGGATCACCATTGATTTCGTATTCAAGCTTCCAGAGTAGGTCTTGAACTCACAACGTTTGGACTCTGAGGCAAGAGTGGCCACTGTTTGTGCCATAGTTTACTGGAGGGCATGGGGAGTAGGAGGGGTAAGAAGGTTCAGTGAATCTAATTTGTGAAGGAGATTCATGGTCGTCTTGTTGCAAAGTACATCATCACTGAATAAGGGCTGAATTGTGCTTATCTGCAATGCTGTTCATGGTGAAATATCTTGTTGCCGCTCACCATCCAGAATCATGTTGGGAGAATTGGTCATTGGATGAAAATATCAAACAGTTCCATGATGGTGCCATGGACTAAGTCAGCAATTTCAGTCTCCATCTTCGGCACTCTCCAGACAAATACTTTCCATCTAAGGTGGCCAATAAGAACCTAACAAATCAGAATGTTAAAACTGTCCCCACTCACAGTTTCTGACCCTTTGACCTCTGTCCAATTATTGTTCACAGATCGTGGAATGCAAGCGGTGGTTGGAGGTTCTCTTAAACCTCTTCCGAAGGGTTCACGTGTCGGAACTCAGCATTCTTGTCAGGTTCTCGGCTGTGACTCTCTGGTGTCAGGGCAGGAGTCAGTACCTTTGACTTCTGTCCTTGGTAAACAACTGGCAACTCCCTTCATTCTCAAGGATGTGCCAGTCTCCCTGTCCAGACTGTAATCCCGAGACAGTGCATGTGTGTGTCAACATTGGGTGATAAAGATAGGGTCAAGCTTGGCCAATATGTCTATTCTCTATGGTCAATGAAGACATGTTAATGTAGACTAGTTTAGAGTCTGAAAGGATCATGTGAATAGGGTACTTGTGGATCGCTGGCAGGGAGGAGCCAATTGAAGAGGCCAGCCACTTCCATACTAGGAAGTTATATCTTTTGGTAGTTTGTTTCAAAGAAGTGTTTTCAGAAGCCAGAGAGGTAGGCTGTTCCCTTCCTTCTACCTTTGTTCCCTTGAATGAAGGTGGGGGATCCAGAAAGGATAAGAGTCATAAGAGAGGTGTTCAACCACAATGTTAGAGGGTTTCAGGCTGTCTGTGTTGATCAGTGTCAGGTGACAGTGTGAGGTCATAGGTAAGAAATAAATAATTATAAATGCAGGGGCTACAAAAGCAAGACAAAGGCTAGGAATTCTGCAGCAAATCGCCCATTTCCTGACTCCCCAATGCCAC